ACCCCATGCGATTTCTTCTTATGGGGCTACCTGAAGTCAAAGGTTTATGTAAAAAATCTAATAAATCTGCAAGAACTTAAAAACAACATTTGTTCTGAAATAAGACAACTATCGCCCGATACACTAAGGAGCGTAATGGAAACGTAAAAGAAACGGACCCTAAGTTGTCAAAACAACTATGGCCATCATTTAAAAGACAATATATTCAAAACCTAGTTCTAATAAAAAATAAAATGTTTTTTCTTTCGAATAAAACAAGTTTCAATATCCTAGCGTTAATAGTTTTCGTTTTATTGGCAAATCAGAAGGGTCAGTTACTTCTGGGACACCCTGTAGCTGGGAAATGTATGGATACAAAAAAAAATTAAAAAAGTAAGTCAATTACATGCTTGCAGGCAAAAAGCGAGTAGGTTTTGTTCAGTCAAAATAATAATAATAAATGGCTACTTAATAGGCACAAGTAGTACGGTTATATCTTTATTAGGTAGCTGGGTATACATTTGGATTTAAGCCCAAAAAATGCAAAAGTTGCCTTACATTAAATCCCACCATTAGCTTTATTTGTACGAAGATCTAGTGGACAAGGCAGAATAAAATATTCACGCCAATTGTGGCAGTGAATCGACCTATGGGATTCTATACCAGTTTCGGCGGGTGTGTAATCTCAGACTGACTGCGTTCATAAAATCACTTGAATTTCTTCATTTCCTTCCCCAGCTGATGGATGTGTTTATGGAGGCCTATCAGCACACCTGCAACCGGGAAAGCCGTCGCGCACTGGCGCAGGTTATGGTCGACTTGATGCACCAACGCCCTCGAATTGAACTGACAGACACCTACTTTGTGCTGCCCTATAGATACGAGTGTGCCATTCTGCGTTTAAAGACGGAAATACTGAAGCATATTCTGAACCAACAGGTAATATCGAAAAGCTAGATGGTATGATTAGATGTGAGTTACTTTAACCTGACCGTTTTCACCAGCTTCATTTTTATGCAGCTGCTGCGGCTTTTAATACGAAATTAAGTTTTAATTTCAAAGTGGACGCTTGTGCCTCAGATTGATTGGATAGGAAGGGATAAATGCCTGAACAAAGGCTAGCAACCTTGACGGCTCTCCTAAGGCGTCGAGCCTACCGCTGACCGCCACAATGATTCCTTTGTTCAATAGTGTTAGCTGGGCTGGCC